CAATTCTACGATCTAGAGTTCCTGCCTGGCCAGGCACCCCCCAATCGGTTCCTCACCCCTGTTCCGTCCATGCAACCTTTCCTTACGCCAGAGCACTAACCCTCGGTCTCTGGCAAAAGGCCGTGTCTGCTAAACCCATATGCGGTCGACGATTCTGTCCTAATTCATGGAGATAAAGATATGCCTGTAGAACATCATTCAACCGATTCATCCCAGCATCAAGATCAAGACGATCCGGTGGCAGAAAGCCCTCATCCACAAGATCAACCCAATCTGACCATCCCACCTTACATCCAGTCAACCATCCCAACACATACCCCACTCGGCTCAGCTCATCCTCACAGGATGAATGACCAAACTAAACAAACCACAGCACCCGAGCCCATCTATCCTGACCAACCGAATGACTATCAGAGGACTCTCCTGACCATTCATGTGGGGCGAAACACCAAAACAGTTACCATGGGAGTCATCCAACCGAAAGGAATGAACGAAGATCTATGCTACCAGGGAACGCACGAAGGAACAACTCGTCAGACCACCCCACGAGGGATGACCCAACGGAATGTATCAAAGACAATTGCAAAGGTTGACCCGGTCATGCGAGATGACCTAGTGGCGTCCCCTTCTCCTATGGAACAGGTACTGGCCAAGAGACTGGCCGACGTGGAGGCAGTGATGAGGCACATTCCAGGAATGCCGGTCCCAACCAAGAAAAGCAGGCTATACTGTTACATTGATTCACCCTTTGTGGATGAGATCGCTCTGGCCGACATGCCCTAGAAATTCACCATCCCCAACATGAAACCATACGACGGTACCACCGACCGGGACGACCACATAGCCTCGTACAAGCAACAGATATTCACAGTCTCAATACCCCGACCGCTTAGGGAAGCCTGCATGTGCAAAAGTTTCGGTTCTAGTTTATTCGGCCTGGCACTCTAGTGGTACACAAACCTCCCGAACGGATCCATCGACTCATTCGCCCAGCTTACCGACACCTTCGTGGAACAATTCGCCAGCAGCAAGAAACTAGAGAAACTGTCAGCCGACCTATACCGAATATACCAGAGAAGGGGAGAGCCACTGAGAGAATATGTTAGCAAATTCAACAAATAAAAGATCTTTATCCTGTCATGTAACCCCGAGACAGTTGTGGACGCCTTCAGGAAATGCCTCCTCCTGGACAGAGAACTGTACAAAGAACTTACGAAGCTGGGTTGCACCACAATAGAAGACGCTCTGGCTCGGGCAGTGATCCAAATAAGATGGGAGGAAGATAAGATGAACCGAGCAGCTCATTCCAGATATGAATCAAGGCGGAATGACAAGAAACCAGAGTACCGGCTGGTAGAACACCGCTACCAACCCCCAGCACGTAATATAAGCCGAGTCAGGAAACCATATGATCGCCAGCCCGCGAGAAGCGACAGTAGGCAATTCGGATCAAACCGGTACAAAATACCGGAATGCAACCTCAACGTCGAACCAACCCAGGTTGTAGCAATAATGAAAGGAATGGGATCCACTGTCAAGTGGCCTGACAAGCTCAATCCCGAGGCAAGAAGAGACACAACCAAGTGGTGCGAGTTCCACAGCGACCATGGGCATAATATCGCAGACTGCATCGCCTTACGGCTAGACGTCGCTGCACTTCTAAAGAAGGGACATCTCCGGGATCTGCTAACCGATAAGGGGAAGAGCACCATTAGCCATAAAAGTTCAAAAGAACCATCACCACCTCCGCGAGAACCTACACCAAAAGGTTTATGTTCGCTCATCTCCAGAGGATCAGAGATTGGTGGGGTAAGTTACTCATCGGCCAAACGGTATGCCAGAGCCAACCACCACCATGAAGTCCAGTCCAGTCCATCCATCTGGTCTCGCGGTCACACACTCATCAGGTAATTCAGTTTGAAGATGACGAGTCGGTCACCTTGGCTACTCCTCATCACGATGCCCTAGTCATCTCCCTGCAGGTTGCCAACATCCTAGTGAAAAGAGTATTCGTAGATGGAGGCTCTTCAGCAAACATCCTATTCCTCGAAACAGTGAAGGCTATGGGATTGGAAGAGGCAAACATCAACAGGCGGCCGACGCTGCTAGTTGGTTTCAGCTCTGAGCAGAAGTATACTATCGGGGAGATCTTCCTCCCTATCTACGCCGGTGGAGTGAACAAACAAACTATTTTTCTAGTAATCAACTGCCCTTCGCCATACAACATCATCTTGGGTCGACCTTGGATCCACAATATGCGGGCAGTCCCATCTACCTTCCACCAGATGATCAGATTTCCAATCAAGTGGGGGATACGAGAGATCAGGGGTGACCCCAAAACTTCTAAGGATTGCTACAAGAATGCCTTCAAAGACAAGGGTAACTCTTCGTAGTAATTACAGTCTCATCCAACCCCACCGACCGATCTGAATCAACCATCTATAGATGAGTTGGATGAAGTACAGACACATCCGAATGATCCCGAGAGAAAGACACACATAGGGTCCCGCCTCAACCCGAGACAAGAGAGAAGCTGATAGAATTCCTCAAACAGAACCAAGACTATTTCGCCTGGTCCCACGCTGACATGATCGGAGTCAATCCGGAAGCAATGGTTTATCAGCTCAAGGTAGACCCAGATCACCCACTAGTGAAACTGAAGAGAACAAAATTCACACCAGAGCATAATCGAATTGTCAAAGAAGAGGTCGAGAAGCTCTTGAGCAATGGTATGATCAAGGAGGTCCACTACCCCGAATGGCTGGCGAATGTCGTGGTCGTAAAGAAGAAGAACGGGAAATAGAGAGTGTGCATTGACTTCACGGACTTAAACAAAGCCTGCCCCAAGGATTCCTTCTCGCTCCCACATATCGACATGATAGTCGATGCAACCACATGTCACGAGCTCCTTAGTTTCATGTATGCTTTCTCAGGGTACAACCAGATCTTGATGCACCCGGACGACCAATAGAAGACATCTTTCATCATGGAAAGAGGAACCTATTGCTATAAGGTGATGCCATTCGACCTGAAGAACGCAGGGGCCACCTACCAGCGGCTGGTCAACAAGATGTTCGTCGAGTACCTCGGAGACACCATGGAGGTGTACATCGACGACATGCTCGTCAAGTCACTGATGGCCGAACAGCATCTCGACCACCTCAGCCAGGCATTCGCCATCCTCAGGAAGTACAACATGAAGCTAAATCTAGTCAAGTGCTCATTTAGGGTCTCGTTAAGAAAGTTCTTGGGCTACATAGTGACTCAGCGAGGGATAAAAGCCAACCCCAACCAAATCAGAGCAATCATTGGTATACCATCTTCGACTTGCGTCAAAGACGTCCAATGCCTCAAAGGACGTGTAGCCGCCTTGAGCCGCTTCATCTCCAGGTCAGCCGACAAGTGTCATCTCTTCTTCCATGCTCTTAAGAAGTCCAAGAAGTTCGAGTGGACCGCCTCCTGCGAAGAAGCCTTGCAATAGCTGAAGAGATACCTAACCTCCCCTCCGTTCCTCTCAAAACCGGTGGACAGGGAGAAGCTCTACTCTTACCTAGCGGTCTCCGAGACAGCCATCTCAGTAGTACTAGTTCGGGAAGAAGAAACGAAGCAGTTGCCGGTCTACTATGTAAGCAAGTCACTCCTTGATGCGGAAACACGATACAGTCAGCTGGAAAAGTTAGCCCTCGCCCTCATCCATGCATCCAGGAAGCTCATGCCGTACTTTCAATGCCACTCAATAGTTGTACTCACCTCCTTCCCACTCAAGAAGATAATGCACAAACCAAAGCTATCAGGCCGACTCCTGCAGTGGACAGTAGAGCTTAGCGAGTTCGACATCTCATACCAGCCTCGCACCGCCGTTAAATCCCAGGCCTTGGCCGCCTTCATTGCTGATTTCACCCCGAATACTACCACCCAAGCAAAAAATGAGTTATTATGCATGAACGGCGGATCACCATCCCAGTGGACCCTCTTAGTGGATGACTCGAGTAACATAAATGGAAGCGGACTTGGAGTGGTACTGGTCGTGCCAGAAGGAGACATCATCCAGCGGGCAATACGATGTGGGTTTAAGTGCAAGAACAACGAAGCCGAATATGAGGCCCTCATAGTTGGACTTTCCTTAGCCAAGGAAATTGGAGTAAAGAAAATAGAAGTGAAGTCTGACTCCCAGCTCGTGATCAATCAACTGCAAGGCACATATCAAGCATGCAACTCAAATATGACATCCTACTTGAGCATGGTCAAGGAGCTGCAGGCACAATTCAATGAGTTCTCCATCATCCAAATCCCCAGAGCGGAGAACTCCCACGCTGATACTCTTACCAATCTCGGCTTAGCCCTCAAATGCTCTTCCCTCTCGTCTATCCCTCTATTATTCATGCAGTGGCCTGCCAACTGGGAGGGACAACAACCAAACAAGCCGCCCGAGGAAGCCATGGGAGTTGAACTATCCGACTGCTGGATGACTCCGATAGTGAGATACTTGGAGCATAACGAACTCATTGCTGATAAGAACGAGGCACGACGACTAAAAGCAAGAGTCGCCAGATTCACCATACATGAGGGCCAACTTCTTAGAAAATCATTCTCGAGCCCCTACCTCAAGTGCACAAGCCCAAAGGAGGCCCAACGTGTCCGTGCTGAGTTACATGAAGGCGAATGTAGAAACCATGCTGGGGGACGTAGCCTTGCATTCCGAGTGACCACTGCTGGATATTATTGGCCAACCATGCGTGCCGATTTGGCAGCTTATGTGAAGAAGTGTGACAGTTGTTGGAGGTTTGCTCATATCTTACACCTCCCACCAAAGCGACTACATTTCATCCTCACACCCTGACCCTTTATGAAGTGGGGAATAGACATCATGGGAAAACTATCTACTGCACCTGGACAGCAAGTCTTCATGTTAGCTGTGATAGACTACTTTACGAAGTGGATTGAAGCCGAAGCCTTCGCACAAGTCAGAGACAAAGAGGTAAAAGCCTTCATCTAGAAGAATGTCATTTGCAGGTTCAGGATACCGAAGGAGATCGTCACCGACAATGGATCCCAATTCATCAGCTCAGGCTTTAGAGATTTCTGTGACATGTGGGGGGATAAAGTTGAGTTTCTCAACCCCCCGAAACCCCCAGTCTAACGACCAGGCCGAGTCGTCAAACAAGACCATCATTCAGACACTGAAGAAGCGATTACAGAAAGCTAAGGGCGCATGGGCGGATGAGCTACCCGAAGTCCTCTGGTCATACCGAACCACGGCTCGCTCGTCAATGGGTGAGACCCTATTCTCCCTCACATACGGTTCGGAAGCAATAATCCCGGTCGATGTGTCAGTCCCGTCCACTAGGCTCCAATGGGAAGACGAAGAATCAAACGACCAGAACCTTTGCCAGAACCTGGACACCATCGACGAGCTACGCGAACGGGCAAGCATCCGTAACACAGTCTATCAGCAACAGGCCGCCTGACATTACAACTGCAACGTGAGGATCCGGACTTTCAAGATAGGCGATTGGGTCCTCCGTAAGGTCTTTTAAAACACTAAGGAGGTTAACTCTGGCAAGCTCGGCCCCACTTGGGAAGTCCCGTACAAGATAACTAAAGAAGTAGGGAAGGGTGCCTACAAACTCCAGACCCTCGGGGGCAAAGACATCAGTAATAGTTGGAATGCCGTTCACCTCAAGCGCTACTACTTATAGGTGAACTTAAATCTTTTTTCTATTTTTTCCTTGTTTATTTTTAAAGGGATTAGTGGGCCTATCCACCTCCTCTTAGACAGTCGGCCTCATGGCCAAATATTAATAAAGTACTATTCAGAAATCTTACATCTCCAAATCGACACTGGTCGATCGATTATTGTTTACAACTTCAAATCGGCCATGTCCGATCCGCGATTTCACACCTTCGAATCGACCCAGTTCGGTTCACAAAAACACCTTCGAATCGACCCAGCTCGGTTCACAAAAACACCTTCGAATCGACCTAACTCGATTCAACACCTTCGAATCGACCCTGCTCGATTCACGATAACACCTTCAGATCGACCTTGCCCGATCCACATACTTACACCTTTGAATCGACCCTGCCCGATCCACATACTTATACCTTTGAATCGACCTTGTTCGATTCACGATAGCACCTTCAGATTGGCCCTGCCCGATCCATGTACTTACACCTTCGAATCGACCCTGCTCGATTCACGATGATAGCTTCAGATCGGCCCTGCTCGATCCACGTACTTACACCTTCGAATCGACTCTGCTCGATTCACGATGACACCATCAGATCGGCCCTGCTCGATCCATATATTGACACCTTCGAATCGACCCTGCTCGATTCACGATAACACCTTCAGATCGGCCCTGCCTGATCCTCGTACTTACACCTTCAGATCGGCCCTATCCGATCACGAGTTTACACCTTCGGATCGACCTTGCTAGATTCACGAGTTTACACCTTCGGATCGGCCCCACTCGGTCTACGAAGCTCAACACGATTTATGACTCACACCACTTAGTCGGCCCGATCTGACTCAAGAACTGACCTACTCGTTGACTTTGTTCATCTAGGGGACTACATACTCGTCGGCCAGACCGAATGAATAGTCCTTACACCTTTGATAAGCAAAGCGCCAACCCAACCCAACCCAACATAAGGCCTACATGTCTTAGCCACTGGGCCACTTTGAAGTAATATACACGACATAGTGCACCTATAAGTAAAGAAACAACAAACAGTTTATTCATCCACGAAGACAACATCAAAAGTCAAAATAGCCAAGTGTAATATATATAGCATCAAACGGCCCTGTTCAGAATACAAAAATGGCACACACGCCAGGAAAAAGGGCATCGCAGGCCCCCAAAATAAACAAAGAAAAATGCTAAGTATCCTCAGCGCGAGTCGCCTCCTCCATCGCCGACTCGGTCGCCATGTCTGCACCGCCAGCGCTCAGCCCAGCAGCGTGGTCGCTCGCATCCCCAGCACCCAATGGCCTCGGCTGACTAAGATTAGACATTTGCTCCTCGTCCTGCCCCCTCGGATGACCATCTCCCTCTTTCAGCAACTCCTGCATGAGCTAGATGTCTTCATCCGGATCCTAGTGAGAGGTCTTCCCTTCCTTAAACTCGAGCATGAGCTCACCTCGGGCCTTGATGATAACGTCATCAGCAATGGAAAGGCACTGCTCCCTGAGGGACTCGACCTCTGCGGTTCTCTCGGCCAACTCCCGCTCAATCTCTCCACCTCATGCTCACTATCCCTGAGGCACTGCTGACTCTCCTGCTCAACCTTTCGGGATGCTGCCTCCCTCTGGCGCAAGCTAGCATTAGCCTTGGATATATCCAGTATCCGTTTCTCCTACGCCACAACAAACTTCCTCAAATGAAGACTGCTAGTGAGTACCTGCAAAACAAAACATTGCCATCAGAACAAAATTCAAGGACAAGTATAAAGAATACCACTATCATACCTGAATGGCGTAGGATACCCCCAATCAGCCGCAGCAACTGCACCCATCTGCTTCAGATGCGCCTCGTCCATCGGGAACAAGAAAGAGTCGGCCAGTTTACTCATGGTAGTTGCATCGGAGTAAGTCGACACAGTAGCAGGAATCGTGAACGTAATAGTCCCAGCCTCCTCATCCACGACAGCGGTATGGGATGACCCAGCTCCGGCTATAGGCTATTGACTCAGCGGCGTCACCAACTCATCCTCTACTCTCACGTCCCCCTTGGCCAAGGACTCTCTCCTCCTCTTTTCTCGACGTCGGGCGATGGACTCGCTCGCACTCGGAACGGTAAACTTCTTCATCAGTGATTCTGCAAGTGCAAACTCTCCAACGGTTAGTGGGTTCAGCTCGGACTCACCAAAAATGAATTGATTGCAGTATCGACTCAAAAGAACATCCCACATTTGCTTCAACGAAAGGAAGGGAGTACCTCGCCGGATCGCCTCTACACCAGCCCAAAGAGTGCTGGTCCTCAGGTTGGACTCTGCTAGCAGTACCCGCCAGTCCCTCTGCTTTGACGGGATGGCCAACACCTTCTGGGCACAATGTCTAGGTCGTCTCTACTTTGCCCGACCCGATTATACTCAAGCTCTGTAAACAAAAAACACTATCAAGATTTAGTAATCAAAGCACAAAAGAAACAACTAGGTTCTCACCAGTAGCTTGCCAGCTGCCCGGGATCTCACCCTGCCCCCTCTCTCCAAAGATAGTCTGACCCCTCAGGAAGAAGTAGCGGTCCTTCCAGTTTTTATCACTGGACTGTAGATCGGTCACCAAGTGAGACCAATCATGCCTCAAGTTCAACAGATACCGACCCCTCTCCTTATAATTCTCCTTCAGAAAATACGAGTACAACAGCTCGTACAGCCCAAACCTCACTTGGTTCCAAACATAGAGGTCCTCCAAAGCCATCAGCAATCTCCAAGCATTTGGCATAAGCTGAGAAGGGGCAATCATAAAGTGGTTCAACACCTCCCAGACGAGGCGAGAGACAGGTAGACTCAACCCATCATGAAACCACTTCTCGTAAACTCTAATCCAACCTAGTGCCTCCCAGTCGACCCGTTGGTATGACCGCGGCACCCGGATATCAACTGAACCAGGAATGTGATACAAGGTCCGGATGTGCCACACATCATTATCCTTCAGCACGGGCGGATAATCTCTGGTCAAGATCTCACTGCCCTGATGGCTCGGCTCTTCCTTAGAGCTACTACTGGACGAAGATGGACTACCAGCCCCTTCGGAGTCTTCCCCACTTCTCCCATGCCTGTCCAAGCCACTCGGGCCAGCCTCACTCATACCAGGGGCAGCTATTCTAACTCCAGTTGGTACGTCCATCAAAACGCCCCCCTCAGGCATCATCACTATGGTAGGGGCACGCTCATATTCATCCCCTGCGTCTGCCACAATCCCGCTCAAGCTAGCTGATTAGGTGTCTGACATGCTGGCTCAATCGTCCAACCTAACCGAACGACTCTAGCCTTGCTCCAACTCAAAAATTCTAAGTGTCAAACAACTACTCGGCCTGAGCTACCGACCGAACAAGGGTATAAAACCCAGTTGTCACTCACCTCCACTACCGACCCAGCCAATCCCTGATCCAAGTTCCCTTCGCTTGCCCCGGGCGACCGACTCATCTTCAAGCTCAACCTATAGTCTACTCGACCTGGCTCACCGACCTAGCAACTCAAAATCACCCATTCGGTTCGGACAACCGATCACCCTATTTAATCCACTCCACACACCACTCCAATAATGGCATACTCCGGATCGACAATGGATATCGAACGACCCCGGGACAAGGATCACATGCAAGATTAGCTACACAACCGATCATCCCGAAAGGATGACCGAGCGCCCATCGATCGCTTTCTACTCTCTGACTTAAAAAAACTCTTAACTCAGAGAGTGGGGGGCAAACTGTTAGGGCCAAAAACCGTTGTTGGCCCAAATAGGAAAACGGGTCTGACAGTGAAGAAGCCAAGCCCAATCCCGATCTGGATTAGGTCCATTTGGGATAAGATACAGTCGGCCCAAACCACCTGGGTACGAGTCTCCCAATCTCGGCCCATTTCCTAGGTCCATGGGTGAATCCAAGGCCTATGGCCCTCAAAATATTTTCCTATTCTTGAGCAATCTCCTATTCGAGGTCACCTTCCTGTTCAGAACACTTTCCTACTCGAAGTTACTCTCCTAATCAGAATCACCTTCCTATCCGGACACTGGTAAGACAACTTACCATGGCCCTAATTCTTCTAAGGTTTGCATCAGAGTCACACTAAAACCCCTACTTCTACCAGGATGGGGAGACCACACAGCCACTATATAAAGAGGTCAGCCCTCTCACAAAGGACACATTACATTACACCTTCACACTGAAAGCTCTTACTTGAGAGCTCCACATCACTACCGTAGTCACAGTCCCCGACTAGACTTCCGATAACCTCTTTACTCCCTAGCCCTTACTATACTAGCCTCTTTCAGCCTTGCTGACTTGAGCGTCGGAGTGCCTATGAGAAACACCACCCTGGTGTTTCTCGTTTGCTTCACGTGTTTGTTTCTCTATGTGTGCAGGTGCAGCGGATCGCTAGTGGCCTCAACCTCACGGGATCAGACCCCCATTCCATATAGGTAGATTTTTACGTCTACAAGAGGTAACGGCTTTTTCTCACCCAAATAATTGTTTAATGATATTTCTCACTAATAAAATTTTAAAATACTATTTTATTATTTAAATTTATATTTCAGTGGCGAATAAAGAGCAAACTTGATCTAGGCTATTGGCGCTTTTAAGAGGAGAGACCTATGAGTCTTTTGGTAGTAGAAGATTAGATTTTGATGGTTGGGATTGATCAGAATTTGATTTAGAAATGACAATTACGTAAACCCTAATCGCTCGATTGCCCATAATTGATAGGGTCAGCGAAAGTAGAGTTTGAAAGGTTTTGGTAAATG